GCCATCCAAAGTACGCAAAGCAGATTTGGTAAGATTACTGGGAGAATCTTCTAATGACGATTTTTTCGAAGTAAATTCTTTGTACTTGCTAGAACATTTCTTAGCATTTAAAGTGTTTCCTTTCTTTTGATGTTTTAAACTGGGACTATACTTGTGCAAAATTTTGGAATGTGCAGTTTTCATAGGTGTTGACGACTCTCTTTCATCCTTTTTATGCTTACGTTCATCTTTTTTGTTATCACTGAAGATATCTATTGGTGTTTTTTCTTTTCGTTTAGCGTCATCGAATGGTTTAGAGGGAGATGTGTCCCTATCTTTTGAGCGTTGTTTTACAATCCTATCTGGCGCTGTATCTCGTGATTCCAAAATATTCTGAACATTTTTCTTATCTTTCGTGGTTGAATTTTTAATTTTCTTTGAAGACTTGGCCATATGGACATTTTCTGTATGTTCACGAGATTTTTGTAATAACTTATCTTTAGTTGCTTGTATGGCTTCAAGTTTAAGCTCATCATCATCTTCAAGCAGTTTATCAATTCGGTCTTGAATCTCTTGAAACTTGTGAGTTATTTGTACGTTAGTTGGATTGCTTAATGCACCCTTGCTATCAACAGATGGCGATCTCTGTTTAGGAGGTGTTAAACTCGCAAACATATCCAATACCTCAGGCTTGCCCAAATCGTCGGCTTTGTCTACCAACTTCGAATCTTCTTTTATTGGTTCCTGTTTTATGGTTTTTAAAATATCAAGCGCAGTTACGTTATTGGTGAATGGTTCTGGACTTTCTTCTTTTTTTATGGTACATATTGGGCTTTCTGGTTGGTTGTTTTCATTCTGGGGCGTATTTCCCTCGTCATCAGCAGTTGATGTGAGTAATTCCTTATTTGGTGAAAGCAATTGCTTCTTTGTGGGGTGTAGCGGCAATGTTTCGCGTATTTTTCTGATTTTCTTTCTTTTGCTCGACTTACGACTACTTTTGGTACTTGAAAGTGATTTATTGCTACTTTCCCGCTCCTTAGACTTTTTAGTTTTCTTCTTTTTCTGCACATTCTGATCCGAGCTGTTCCTTTTCTTTTTTGTTGGAACACGATCGAGTAAATTGAAAGCATAAGATATAGATGGTTTTGTTTTGGTCCACCTAAATTAAAAAACAAAAAAATTTAATTAAAACGAGTACACCTGACCCTCTATTTACGCAGTTCGCAGGGCGAGGAAAAACTCGTGTGAAAAATCCAACTTATTCAAATAAAGCCGGATTAAAAAAGAAAATCAAAAAATTTATACACATTTTGTTCGTGTCACAATTCGTTTCATTGAAAAATATGAATATGTATTATGCTTTCGAGAGTGAGATAAAAACGCCATTGAGCGCCAAAACAAGCATTTTTAGGAGATCTTTATGGTACAAATGTTGATTTTATATAAAAATTTAGAATTTAAGTGTAAATAAATGAAAATCATGTTAGACTATATATCCTCTTCATAAAAGGCACAATCAGTTTGTAGGACAAATCTCCTATTGATGCAAATATTTTTTTCCATGATTACTCTATATATTATTTAACTAGACATCTACTCTTATTGTACTAATTGCTTTGAATCTTTACGATCCAAAACAGTTACATATATTTCCGGATCTGATTTTTGAGTTCTGGCTCCTTTGAAGAGGATGTGCGATATAGCACATATACTGTATATATACTCTGGACTTACATCAACTCGGAATATGGTATACCGCTATTTGGAGGCTGTGAGTGAGATGGTTCCTCAGCTGGTGCATGAAACGACCCGGAAACATACTGAGAACGGTATCTAGAAAACCGTGTCCGATTGTGTGTAGCAAAATGACCGCCTCTATGGCGAAAATCTGTGCGATAATTCCTCATAAATGGATTATATGAACGAAAAGGTGCAGGATTATTTAAGTCTGAAAATCGGCGAGAAAAATTAGAAACGGGCGTTACAAAACTCGTCGATGGTATTATTGGTAATGACGTAGCACTGCCAATGGGTCGCATACTTTCACATGACTCGGCAGCGTGGTGCTTTGGATAGCTTTCAAGTTCTTCGTGCTTGCTTCGCTTGCGTTTAGGTTTTTTAGTGACAGCCTTTTTAACCTTTTCCGATTTATAATCTTCAAGGTCGGCGTTTTTTGCATCTATGTTATTAATAAATATTTAGTTCTATATTTGAAACGTGGCCTAGAAGATTTAGTATATCTACCTGCTTTGGGAATTTTCAACTTCTTGTGCTCCTTTTTTTTAGTTGTAACCTTTTGTAACGAGGAATCAGACTTCTGCTCTTTTTTACGTTCCAATTCTTCCTTCCGTTTGATCGCATCTAATTCCAGTATAGCACGAACTTTCTCCGCGCATCTGTCAGTCTCTTGTTTAGAGGCAGATTTAGCACGGGGTAAAAAGTGGGATGCAGTGCATTTTACTTTTACCGCTTCTTCAGCTCCTTTGGGTTTTGTTGTTTCATTACCATGTGGAGGTGTCTTCACTTCACCCGGCTCTAAACTGCTGTCACCCTCTTCCATTAAAATATTTGCCTTGATACTGTCTTCTTTATAATTGATTACAGACATGCCTTTAATAGCACAAACTTATGTATTACATATAAACACAGCGATATTATCGTATAAAACCTGCTTTTCACATAAATATGTTATAAGTTTTCACGTTTTCATATGCTGCGAATAGTTTAATGGCTTGCGCACAGACATCTGTAAAATTTACAACACCAATGCTAATATAAATTAAAATTTTCACATTTCCGACATCATAACCAGACCGAAAACTTCAATATATAAAATTGTACATAAGCTAAAAAAAAATCGATGTCTACACCAATGAGAAGAACTTATCAAAAAGTCGATAAAAAGTATAACACAGCGCCTGCACAGTGCGTACCTTGGCTAAAATTTAGTATTGGTAAACGAACAGCCACTCTATAAAATTATTTGTATTTTTTTATTTATATTCAACAATTTTTATGAGTTTGAGAACGTTTCTAGTGAAAATTTATTGTGGAAAGGCAACAATAATTTGAAAAAATGGTAGAAGTGATAGCTATTTCGGAAATCACCACATTTCCTCATCAGACTTCTTTCAGTAGGATTCGAACCGACGATCACCACTGACTCAGCCAGTTGCCTACGCACTGTGCTAAGTTTGTCTTGTTAATTCTTGTTGCTTATTTTCCACTATTTCACTTTGCTAAGCCAACTACAATCAAGCGCAGCTATTCCGCTGCAATTCACTTGATCATGTGGTTGTTGGTGTTTGTTAATATTTCTATTATTAGAATGTTTAAGAATGCTCGTCCTTAAGTTATTTGAAGAAGCTTTCTGTGTAATCGTAGGCAACAAACAATAGTTAATTCAAAGAGGTCTAGTAAGATAGCCGTAGACATCGGATTACCACAGGGCTCAGTTTTGGCACCCCTACTCTTTAATATATATATAAACGATATTAAAAGTTCTCTCAAACATTGTAAAATAAAACTCTTTGCGGATGATGCCTTGTTAACGATCAGTGATAGGGAACTACCAAATGCGATTGTCAAAATGCAAGAAGATCTTAATTCTTTGTATCAATGGCTGTGTTCAAATAAACTCAAACTGAATGTGAAAAAGACTAACTTTATGGTATTTTCCAGAGCGGCAAATGCTGACTCCATAAGCCGTGAATTAAAAATCAAAGATGAAAATATCGAAGAGGTGAAAATTGTCAAGTACCTAGGAATATACATAGACAACAAACTAAAGTTTGATGAGCACGTTGAGTATACAGTCAACAAGATTGCTAAAAAAATTGGCCTTATAAAGAGATCGTGTAAGTACTTGGGAAGAAGATATAAAACGTTGGTGTACAGGTCAATAGTAGAACCGCACTTTATATACTGCCCCACGATTTTCTTCCTAGCGGGGGACTCCCATGTAGATAAGCTGCAAAAAATGCAAAACCGAGCGATGAGATTCATCCTCAACAAACCGTATGACACACCAACAAGATGTATGCTTGAAACCTTGAATTGGTTAAGCGTGAAGCAACAAGTTTTTTACCACGCTATGAAATTTGTGTACAATATTAAGAAGGGCAACCTCCCGGATTATCTTAGCGATAATCTCCGATATATAAATGAGACGCATACATATTTGTTGAGAGAGAATAACAGCTTCAGACTCCCGAAGTATAGAACAGAAGTGGACAAAAAAAATATTTTCTATAAAGGCTTAAAGTGCTTCAATGAATTACCAGAGGCTATAAAAAATTGTGATACTATCACTCTTTTCAAGCGGCTGCTATTTGACTATTGTAGAACGCAGCCTACAAGATAGTGATGTATCAACAATAGCGTGGATTGGAAACTAGGCCTTTCCAACCACCAAGATATCGAGACTAGGCGGATCGGAAACTCGGCCTTTCCGACTACCTAGACCCTTAGATAATAAACAATAAACGAGCGGATTGGAAACTAGGCCTTTCCAACCGTTAACCGTCACGAAAGCGCGACTGGGTGGATCGGAAACTCGGCCTTTCGGACCACCCAGGAGATATCAATAAATGGAGTAACCCAAAAAGAATAGCGCGGATTGGAAACTCGGCCTTTCCAACCGTCTACATAACTTCCAGGAAATTGCATGCGTGTATAATGACATAAAATAATTGCAGTGATAAAGAAATAATGTTATTTAAAAATTTCTGTAGAGCATTTTGTATTTTGTATTTAATATTTAATATTTATATTTTAAATCTAAAATCTAATTATAAGAATGTTAAATCTTTGTTGCAATATAAGTCTAACAGACTGTAAAAAATAAATAAATAAATAAATAAATAAATTTGTTTTTGTTATTTTTTTATTTCTTAAATAATTTTTAACCAGGGCCGGAAAATGATCATTATTTTTTAAATTTCAAATTCAAATTTCAATTTATAAATATACTCACGTATTTGTGTACGTTTTCCTACTGGAATTTACAATGATTTTTTATTTTACGAATTTAACCAATAAAGAATAAAGATAATAATTAATATTTGAGTATAATTTTCTCGCTCAAAGGAAATCATTTTTACTTGATTTTTATTTTTTTCGATCAAAAACAAAGAAAAAATAATAAAAACTCGAAGGCTATACCAGTGCGATTTCCGAGTCCAAAAACTTTCAGGTAAAAATTTCTCTTGGTTGCGTCTGTATGGCCTTTTAAATTTATAGATAATCATTATTTTCGAGTGACAAAATGAAACTCAAAAATAATTATTGTCCAAGCAAAAAAATAAAAAAATAGTTTTATTTGTGATCGGTAAAATAAAAATCCTATAAAAATTTTCATCTTTGAGCAAAAAAATAAAACTCAATAATAATTATTATTTTTAAGCGAAAAAAAATTAAAATAATAACATAATGATTGACTGATGATTTAACTAACTTTACTCATAATGATTACCGTCCCTATTTTTAACAAGTTTTTATTTAAAACCGCCATTAAACTAATCATATGTTTCATGGGGAATACTAATGGCGCCGTCAAACTTAGTTTAAACCACGGCCGTGCACTGAAAACTGGCCCTGAATACATGTATTTGCGTTACAAACGACGCCGTTACTAATGCATCAAAGCAGTTGACTTCAAAAGTAAACAAACTCGCTACTTTTCTGTTGCGTTGACATTTCAAATTACATTTGTGTGCATTTTTTGTTCACAAAAAAATGAGCGGCACAAAACAAGGTGTTTAACAACAAATTTTTTAACGTCGTCAGCACACAAGTGGATTAACGCAATGCCTGTGAATTATTTGTCATATTTTAATGATATTGGTCGAGTTCATAAGACGTAGCTGTTTAGCTCATCTGCTATGAAACTGGCAACTGTTGAACCCAACAATTACGTCTTAGGAACGGCTTGATGAATATGCTGCCAAATGAACAGCTGATAAATGTAAACAAATGAAATCGCAACAAATAGAGATAGTTGCGCTGATACTATTTAGAATTCAACGCTGAGCGGCCGCCGTGTTAAAAAAATCGTTTAATGTTACAATGAATTATAGGCTGTTTTTGCTTACGCGTAAAAGCACATTTAGCGCATTTAGCTCTAAATGCTACTCTAAATGTCATTTATCCATACAAAATTCGTCACCTAAATGCAACTAAATGCAACTACATTTTTGCATTAAGAATCTAAATGCTAAAAGCAACCCTGTGATCTTCCAAAATTTCCACGATTCGAACATGGTTTAAAGAGAAAAAGTGGCAACATTGCTTTTTCGAGTATACAGTTGCTAGCTGCGTTTCAGTGATCGCCGATCGAGATTTCTTTTATTTTGCATTACATATTTGGATAAAGAAAAGTTAAGCAAATTCAACATCGATTTGATACTGATAGAAATCTGGATCAATTTGTGATCAACTCTGTTTGGTTTGTTTCCTAATTAAGTGAGGAAATTTTAATTGAATGCACCGACAATTAAATATATACACAAACAAATGTTCGGTTATGGTTAAAACAATTCAAGTTTTTGTATTGAATTTTTGGTTTAAAATTTATTTTTTCCTTTTCAGTCGGGTTTTTACACATTATCTTCTGCGTGAGAATTGATCGTAATATATACGCATCTAAATAAGAGACTGGAACACGGCTGTTTGTCAAAAGCATGCGATTTCGAACTCGCGTAAATGTACATTTGCTAAATGCTATAGCATGAACGCTCTTCGAAAACATATGTTCGAAAGTGCTAAATGTTGCATTTTAAATGCAGCAAAAACGCTGCATTAAACAGTGTAAAATTATATAGCAAACATCTTAAAAACATGTATTTAGAAACGTAGTATTATTATAAAATATTTTAGTTACTTTATCACGTCAGTAATATAAAATATAATAAATTTGTTTGCAACTGCCACCTAACAAAGCAGCGTTAAATTTAATATAAGCGGCGTAAGTCTTTTCGATCAGCTGTTTATGCTAAGCCCAACACGTTGAGTTCAGGTAGCGTAAAAATTTTCCGATGGAAAAAATGGCGGAAAGTTGCCAACTGTTGGGCTGAGCGTAACTACTCAACTGTGCGTTTCTAAGACAAATAGCCAACGGTTGGGCAACAACTACGTCTTATAAACGCGCCCATTGTTTCACTCAGTATAAAAATATTGAATTATTTCAAGTGGTTGAAACCCATGATCCAACTACACAAGATCTGACAAGATGAAGCAAAAGAAAAAAGCAGTTTTCTGGCTGACGTTTGTAATTTCGGCGCCATGTTATTTTCTTTGAAAAGTAAACAAAGACGAATGAAGACGAAGCATAAAGAAAAAAATGCCAGCAATTTTGCAGCATATGTTCGTGCTAACCAAATTATTCACCGCGCATTTCATTTTAATTACATTTGCACAAAAAATTTATTGCAAATCGCTTAAAAATCACTGAAATAAACCACCGACAAAATACACAAAAGAAGGAAGCAAAACAGAAATATCAAGCTACAAAATTACTAACGTCACACGCTTTTTTCTCAATTGCTATTACAAATGGTTGCTTCTCAACCGGTCAGATCTGTTCTAATTGGTTCATGGTTGAAACCATTGAACCGAGCCGCACAGATTTCTGGAGCGATTTGCAACCCTCAAATTTATACCGCATGACCCGTAGTCTTTGCGGTGTAAACTCATCCTTAGCATCCGGTTTTCAAAATGGATGTTGGCTCGTGGAATCGGTCCGTTACACTTGTATAAAACGTGTATGACGTATTTTTCATATTAAATTAGAAATAAAGGACTTTAGTATCGAAATCGTGGTTAAAAAATGGAAAACGAAAGTCTTCAAAGTG